TCTTCTTCTTTGCGCTCCTCTTTATGGGAGTCGAGGGCTGCCGGTGAGAAAGCGTTCGGCAGCAGGTCCACAACACTTGATACGTTTACCCGATCATTTTTGGAAGATCCCATAAGGACCTAAAAGAGAAGCAGGTAGGACGAAAGCCAAGTAGTCTACTGTTTACGAGGGCGATTTACCCTGCAATCGCCAAATTCTATCAAAAATTGTCTGCACATTCCGCACGGACTGCCAGGTTCTTCGAGTTCGGTAACTGAAAAAGGCAGATCTCAGAGGAAAATTGGAATTGATAGGACTCCGGTTGGAACCTCTGGGGGCTAACGTAGTTAGGGAGGGGGTGCGCTCGGCAGTGTCTATCTGTCTTTCCCTCAAAACTTCGCCTTGGCCATCACGGGCGTTTGCGCTCTAAACCTGAGCTTTTGTGGTAGGCAAGGGACACAGAGGCGAGGCACAGTGGTCTCTCCTCCTCCCTCTCCCCTTCCCCCCTATCAACTACATTAGCCCTTCCCGTGTTGGTGCTATGTGTGGTGCCGCTCTCCGACAAGGTCAGGTCACGTCACGTTTTATCGTCTGCACCTTCACACCGAGAGAGCGTGACGAACCTTACATGGCTTAATTGACGTGAAAGTGAAACCACCCACCAACAGCTATAGCTTTGAACTTGCGATATCCTTTAGAAACTGCTGAAAGGATGGCGCTTCGTTCAGCACAGATTGTGCCACCGTACGATGCGTTCTCACAATTGACTGCAAATTACCGAGCTTAAAGACACAGTTCCACGCTGATTCCATACGTTGAAACAGGAGTTCATCTCAGTTGTGCGTCCTCCAGTGTTGATTCCAACACAGGTACGCAGGGCGCTCTTTGGCGACCGGGGGGGGGGACATTTTGCACTTCCCACCGTGTCGACCCATCTAGACAGCCTCTTCTCGAGTTGACAGGTTTTACCATGATGGCTTGACGAGCTTGCTCCAGCTTCACAAGAGTTCACAGGTTTCACCAGAGTGAGACTTGTAAACCAGAACTAGTGAAGCAACGAAAGTGCAAAATGCCCCCCCCCCCGTCGGCAAACTGCGCCCGTACGCGGTATAGTACAGTCATGATCACTGCAAACGATAGGGCGTATGACGAGGGTGTGGCTTGGTTTCCGAGCAATTGAGCAGACTCAGTGTGGCATTGGTGAGAAAAGCCCCCCCCCTGGCCACAGTTCAATAAGCGCCGCGTCACACGCCCTATGGTTTGCAGGGATCATTATTGTACGTTGCCTGTTACGATGTAAATGACGTACCATTGACGTCACATGGGACTGTAATGACGGGTCTCGATACGTCATTGACAATGATGCGATACAGCACCCCTGGTCGATAAAGGGTTGGGCCGCGTTCATACTTCGCGACGCGTACTTCCCAATTCGCGCGACAGTGGGCGACCGCGCGTCACTGCTAGCCGCTGGATAGCTGAAACGGTCTGACAAAGT